AAATGAAACACTGATATGTGTAAAAAACAACCTCAGATGCCTTTTCAAATGAAATGTTCGGACCTAATTCATCATATCTGCTCAGGGCCATTAGCCTGTTCGTGATTTATCGATAATGTGGAGCATAGCTCCATTACCTTGGAGCCCAAGAACAGGGCTGTACTTAACACTTTACACCATGTGATTATGTCCAGTTGAGGAAGACTTGCCATTCGCTATGATGTCATAAACACCCTGGCCTATCTGAAGGTAAAAGACACACGGTTTCCGTGGCAGATGCCATAAATGTCGGACAAATCTTTTCCATGTTCAATCACAAGTATTTTGGCGATAATGTTTTATCTTGATTATTGCTTAGAGCAAGAAGGTGACAGTATGGTTAGCGCAGTTGTCTGAGTAACTGTCTAAAAAAAGATGGGAATGTGAGTGGGTTTAACACGGCTTTAAACAGTATTTCATTTATATCACAGAGTGTCAGCTTGATGTGTGAGGAAAGACCATAGGCCATAGAAGTTTATCACTTGATGAAACTTACGAATATGTGTACAGTGATGTGTATAGCGATGTGCATGCACAGTGGCATGGTGTGGTGTGGTGTGGTGTGGTGTGGTGTGGTGTGGTGTGGTGTGGCGTGTGTGTCTGCTTGTACTAGCCTGGACTAATGCCAGATTTATAGGGCTTTTAAAGCCAACTGAGATACTATGCCGCAATGTAACATGAATACCCCACCTAGACATAGTATACTGACTCCAAGCTGACCCGTCCTTGTTTTATCACCTTAATGCTGAGCACCAGGCAGGTAAACAACAAGTACCACTTTTAATGTCTTTTGGTATGATGTGGTGAGGGACTGAACCACCCACCTTCAGCTCTCCGGGCAGATGCTCTATCCACTAGTCCACAGAGGTGCTCCATAAAGCATAGTCAGCTAATGACAGCGCTACAGCAAAGTCTGCAAACCACTGGCATGAATCACGAGTTTAGCAGCCCATATTGTTCACTGACAGACCATATCAAGTCCACACATGCCCACCTGTGTTCCCGTGTTTCAAGATCATCTTACCTGCACTTATATCTTACACCTAACACATGTGACCCAGTGATCTGCCTTGTAAGATGCCGTCTTATCTAAATCCACCTCCTTATTTCACGAGTGACACTAGCATGTCAACAACTACTAGAACTAGTGAACTCTACCACAAATAAACATGTCAACATACATCTCATGTTTGTACTGCACATCATCATTTGCAACTGTCAGTTGTAATACATAAACTTTCTATCAATTGCATAAAATAGATAAATAACCAAACATAATCACGAATATATTACTTTTTACCACAATTATTCTTACTAATGCCAAATGCCTCATAATCAGGTCAATTAACCCAAATTATTCTTGGCAAAACTGAATTTGAAATCCTCAACGCGTTAGATTCCTGACCAGCGTTAGAAACTACCATTTTTAGTCCACTCGTCCTTATAATGATAACATATAGCAAAACCCTTAAAAATGGCATATTTCTACTAGTCCTTATGATAACTATTGGGCAGTTTGGCAAGGACTATAGGATTTGTGCCAATTTCTATCGCTGCTGACAATAGATTCCACACCACACTGACTGTCTCTTCTTCCTTAGTGTCTCTAACAGCCATTGGATGGATTAACAGTCAAGTCACCCCTCTGCATAACCAACAGCCTACCAAACTACATCCGAACATCTTGACACAAACTACACTTGGGCACTCAACACCTGACATCTACCATGCAAAATCAATACCCACAAAGTGTCTATCACACATTCAACTCCACACTACAAGCAATAAAAACATACCTGAACTGCTAAGTAAATCCCATTTTGACAGGTCATCAAAGCTATTGTCACACGACTTCAGTACAAGCACAATTCCTTAACGTACCAACATAACCAGCGTGTTCACTTCGAGTAAAATCCACTCCACCTTGGGTGAAGACCTATGTGGAACTTGCCCTGTTACACACGCTCTGTGTATCCCTACAGTACGCGGTATTGTCACATATTTCAGTTGGCAAGGATGAGTGGTCCCCTGGCGTTATCTTTATCAAGCTGAACAGGGAGTGTTAGACTGGGAAGGACATTTTACCCAAGGAACTGCCTCCTAGCGTACCAGAGTGTATCGGAGTAGGAGTCTTTTTAGCCTACCTCCATTCATTGCATAATGGTGTTCAGGGTTGGTGGTTATGAGTTTTTGAATGTCCCACAATGCATTGTGTACATGCTTGCATGCATTGAAATTTCCAATGCATTGTAACTATGTTGCATTATGTTGAAAGATAGCCAGATTATGCTAAATCCATGTTTATATGCAGTGTTCAAAAGTAATAATAAAATTCTGGTTGTCCTTATCATAAATTCAAGTTGTCCTTTTCATAACCCTAATGTAAATAGTTTAAGATGATTAATTGGGTCCTAGATTCAAACACCATAGAAGGACCCCAGTACCCCTTAATTTCGAACACTGATATGTTCATATCATTTAAAGTGATTATTTCATGCTAAAGCATTTGTAGCGAAATACTACACAAAATTGAATAGATAAGTTTCTTCACATGAGACCCATTGTGCGATTGTTAATCCTCTTCAAATGATGACTACACTGCCCATGATGCCAACCATAAACTATCATGCACTGTAAATGGATAGTGTAAAGGAAGCTATCAAGCAATATTCAAAGGATGGAAGACCTAAAGTACCACATGACCTAAACACATCAAAATTAAATACCAATTCTACACAGATCACCATAACCACCGGTTTGGACTTGTGCTTGTTTGTTTCTTTATTGTATAATGCTGCACTAAGCAATATTCCACAATATGACTGTGGTCTAAATAATCAAATCTAGACCACACAATTCCAGTGATCGACATCATGAGCATCATTCTATGCAATTGGGATACGATAACATATATCAAACAAGTCACCCAATCTTGTTAGTCGCCTCTTACGACAAGCATGGCTTCTTTACGAATGGGACTTATGTGTAGAAATAAATGATACCGAAAGTAGCCCCATAATGTAAGCCTTGTTTTAGGATTAAGCTGCACAAATTACCGCTCGACAGCTACCTACAAGATAAAACTTTGTCCACCTCATATGTAACTAATGGAAAACAATATTTTCCTTGTCTGTTTGGTTATCTGTTGAAGCCAAAATATAAGTGCTATTGTAAACTGGTTTATCAACAAAGATTATGATGTGACTATAAAGACTTCAAAATAATTGTCCCTCTACAATTTTAACTGGTCATGGGCCAGAGGACCAGTAGGTTCTAAAGCACCCCTGTTGTGTTCTTCATCACTCCAGATTGTGACATTATGAATAGGTATGTCAAGCTAGGAAACTGCCACTGATCACATAGATAATATATGAACTGTGTTATACAGTCATGTGCTGACAACAAACAGAGAGACCTGAAACTATCAGGAGGACATGTTTCCTTGGTATGAAAATGAATTGGGAGCCCACTGAGATACCAAAATTTAAGTCCATCACATTGACATGATAATGTCCGCCCACCCGATAAACTCTGTAAGACGTGATATCTTCGCTAAGAGAAACTGTACTGTGAATGATGCAAAGCTGCACATACAATAACCACGCACTCAAATTGTTTGGAGCATCGGTGTGCTACTATCAAAGGTGACGTCAATACACTCAGACATCCATTCACTAGAGCTAAATGACAGGTGAGACAACCAATCCCGATGTGACGAGACTGTGTGTTTAACAGTCCGAGTGTTACTAAGTAGTTAAAGGCTTATCCTCCCGTGCTGAAATGTTTCCAGTAATGAATGACATTTTATCCACTTTCTGACGACAAAAACACAGGGTTCACTATAAGCGGTTTCTTTTCAATGTTTGTCACACTAAGCACACTTATCATGCTTATCACAACTTATATTTACATGATTTTTTAAAATCAGGCTTGATTATTTATTCAGTCTTGATTATTTTAATATATCTGATTCAGAAGGATTTCATTTATGTAAAAATAATATGTACGGCAATTGGCATGGATTGGGTTGCATCCTCAGTTCATAGTCAAGACTTGTACGAAGTTTGGAGAATTAAAATGTCCAATAAAATACATTTCTTTTTAGAAACTGTCAACAGAATGTTTTGGAAAAGGAGAGGTGCATTATGTGACAAGTCAACATACAAGTGCTAATTAGGAATGTAAATAATACTAAAAAAACATTGCGTAATTAACGTATGCTTCAAGAAGGTGGTGCACACTCCTCCCTGAGTCTGTGGATATATGTGTAAACCATAATATGACCTATGATATAACGGTATACATTAAAATTCAAATCTGGAATAAACTTCTGGAATAATGTGCATCATAGTACTTAACATTTAGTGACAAGATCTAGGCATTGTCAGAGTAGAAATAAACACATAAAACTCCCCGAGTCGTAGTTGTGTTCTTTTAAATGTCACTGAAACAAAAGATTTGTCCTCCCATTTAACACATTTTTAAAAAAATGCTCACTGGAAGTCATGATATAAGATAGTTTATCTCCTTGCAAAACCAAGTCTGATGCTTTACAGAACAAATATCTGTCTCTAACTAAAAGCTCAGGTGACCACCCCAGAATATTACATGGTCCCTCAGACATCCACAAAACGTTTAGGATACCATGAAAAGGCAAACTGACTCGTCTTTATGTCAACAGCAGCTGCTGCAAATCTGAAGATTACACATTGACTGTTTAATTGCTGTTGCAATGCAACTCTTTAAATCTTATTACAAAAAAAGCACAAAATAAAAATTCAGGACAGTATTTCATATTTATCATTATGTTAAGATTAAATCCTATCATAATATTGTGTTGATACAAAATATGAATTTGAAATATGAATATAAAAAAGTACTCACAAAGCTGTACGAGATTAATCATATCCATACATATGAAACCTAATTACATTCAAAGTAAAATACATCATGCATCTTACCTGCCTAAAGCAGACATCCAAACAGATATTGCCTCATCCCAGACTCTGCCCGTCTGCCCTGACATGCAGACACAACACAGCCATTTTGAATATTAATACTCAAGTAGAGTACATAAATCCATCAACAGCTCACTTCAATTCCCTCAACACACCTACTGAGGCTAACAATAATGGTTACTTGATACAGATTTTTTGACCAGCCGGTTGGAAACACGCAAAATCTTTCACTGGTGTTTGTCAGTTCATTCATGCCTGTGAGTCCACTGCGACAAAATCCATGTTAATCTGTCAACAAAGCTGAATAGCTCAGGTAAAAGTTTGAAGTGTTTGGCCCATGCTTTTCATAAAATATTGGCGTCTGTCTGTCCACAATCGTAACTATGCCCACATGAACAGACAGCCATTACCGAGGAACTGGATTTGTTTCGCGGCCAATTAGACGTCGACGGGCCACACTGACCCACAAGCGAGTCGCCATCTGACACAAATGGCGACAATTATTCTGCAATATTCAACAAGTATTGCATCCCATTGTCAACCATCTTCTCTGTAACATCAATAGTTAATAAACTGTCACAAGTAGTGTGCAGGGCTGTTTGTATTGATATTACAATCTATCATCAATATGCGTCAGGAACTTTGATGGTTCACTGACAGTTTGATCATTGTGATACGACTTAATACAATGATACAAGTATTACCATGAGGTGAGGTATCCCCACAAATGATACCTGTATACTTATACAGATCACACATTAGTGTTCGGAACTAATGGGGCCCTGGGCCCACTTGCACAAAGAGATCTACGACTATTGTAAGCCTATGTTAAAGTATGGGAGTTACGATCATCTTAGCGCTAAGATCGCTTTGTGCAAGTGGGCCCTGGGTTCCTTGAGGTTTGCTGCTGTAGAATTTGAATCCAGGTACCCCAAAATCGTTACCTTTTAACATAAAGGCTATGAAAAAGACCTTAACTTTAATGCTTAATTTCAAGAACTGTTTCATATGCAAATACCATTTTTCTTATTTATTACCAAGAGTTTGTTACTGATGCAGTGTTATGAAATAAGGGTGTGCTAGTACACACTGGGTGTTCTCCTAGAGTATTTGAGTCTAAGGACACCAGGCTCAATATTCAAAGTAAGGGTTATAACAAGGACTCCTTGAATTTTACTCTTATTTTCTAACATGGCTATTGTATACAACTCCTTGGTGGGAGAAGTCTCCGCGAATGAACAACCTTACTTGAGATAAACGAGGAGGCCAAATGTTCTTACAACAGTCACGTACCACCACTGTGGTGGAGTGGATATAGCGTCTGCCTGGAGAGTGGAGGGTCTGTGGTTCGATCCCTGGCTGTGGCAAAACCAAAAGATGGTGCTTGTTGTTTCCTTGCCTGTCACGCTTTGCATTTAGGGGATAACACAAGGGCTGGTTGCCTCGGAGACAGTATACTGTGTCTGAGTGGGGCATCCATGTTAAACTGTAGTGTGGGGTCTTAGTTGGCTAGCAGGCATTGTGGCATATTTGAAACAAGAAAACAGCATTATCACTACCCCCCACCATTGGGTACATTAGAACTTTGTTTGTTCATATAGCAGTGAACATAAACTATACAAAGAGTCCTAAAGGCACTTGGGCAGCTTTACGTCATCAGAAAAAATGAATAAATGCGATATTTATACACACAAAAGGCCCCTTCTCTCCTAGAAATAACTCGGTCTTGATAAGTATCTCTTAGATAAGCTGACTTCAGTAGTTTCTGAGAAAACTTGTCCCCACTGCACACACTATACACCAAGTAAAATAACATAGATCAAGGGCCATAACTCTGTAAAAAAAATAATTTATGGGACCAATTCTCATACTCAGTCTTGACAAGTATCTCTTAGATAAGCATTCATGTAACACTAGTTTCTGAGAAAACTTGTCCCCATTTCACACAGTATGCACTAAGCAAGGACTGTAACCAATTTTCGAACTCATTTGAGATTATGACCAGCAATATCAGTGTGTAAAATTTCATCTCTCTGACTTAATAGTTTGTGAGAAATTTTGTCCCCTTTGAGAAGTGGACAGACGGACGGATGGACAAACTCTGTGTCTATATCCACTACAAAATAAAAATACATTTTTATCCTTGACGTTCACTGTGACAATGACTTGATTCTCAGCCTAATTAATAGGAGACATGTTTCAGGCCTACACAGGGCACAATGTATAGGTCAGCAAGAAGGAAATGGCCACCAGACAATGGAGCCTTATCTCGCCAGCTTACATGCACATTCTATCATATTAACATCAATATACCTCCTTGACACGGTATCCACACAATCACAGATATCACTAACAGTGACATCAAACCCCATATTTCTAATCAATCTATGCACTAATTGCAATTCCTTCACAATCAGGTCATCAATAAACACATTTACAACATTCAAATCCAATTTGAAACCACTAAATTTGCCAATTTTCAGAAGCCAATACTATAACAATGATGTCTATTAGCCTGACTCTCTTTCGAGTCTGGGCCAGTCAATAGCATCCAGTAAGGAGCAAGTCATTGAAGGCAACAACAATACCAATTACCTAACAACTACCTGTCTTTACAGAGCCTTATGAATGATTCAGTGACTATTGATAGGTCATATGGTTCACCATCTGTGTACAACTTACCTTACAACTAACTTTATTTAGCTGAACGACATAATCAATATAACACTGGAGCAGATCTACAGGGGCTTTATGCAACAGCAATTTCTACACCATGGTTCATATTTATCGACACATGTACATTTATTTCATCACCTGCTGTCAGATTGTGTTAAAAACATGGTGCAGATTGACACAGCTCTGTCGTAGTGCATCACGTGTGGTTGAACTGACAGGGGTTTGTCCTACATGTTAGATTGAACCCTGTTCCTACTGAAAATTAGCTGATGCATTGTCAGCTTAAAATTCTATTTAGAATTTGTTCTCTCATTAATGTAGAATAGTCTTTGGAAATAAGAGTTACTTTGAACTTCAGTAAACTATGGTTATAACTCAAAGGGACCACTCATTTTAGTTTGTTATAACCGTAGTTCATTATAAGTATATATACAGCATATGTAGAGGGAATGCCTTGAACCAAAAAAACCAAACAGTTCGTTATATCTGCCATTTGGTTAAAAGCATGTTGATCATAAACGTAGTTAACTGTATCTTCCTCATAAATATCAGCTGATCAAATACAACAAAACTGATATTGATCACACAGGTTAGAGACACTGATATTGTTTGTTGAATGATGATGTGTGACTTCTGTAATAAGGCTGCCTTTAATAATACTGGATTTTGATTCATTTCAATTTCTGATCAGTAATTTCTGGATACTTTATATACATTATTACCCCAGTCATTGGTACAGTGTGAATTCTAATTTTCATTCTTGGCTCCTTAGGGAATATACAACTCAAGCAGACTGTGAGGTCAGGTGCAAGAAGGTTAACAGTTACATTACCACTTCATCCCACCGAGTACCCATTCACTACTGGGTGAACAGATTGGTGTGTGATTGTTTGTTTGTTGTTTTACGCCGCACTCAGCAATATTCCAGCGATTTGATGGCAGTCTGTAAATAATCGAGCCTGGATCAGACAATCCAGTGATTGATATCATGAGCATCGATCCACACAATTGGGATTCGAAAACATGCATCAACCAAGTCAGCGAGCCTGACCACCTGATCCCGGTATTCGCCTCTTACGACAAGCATAGTGGCTTCTTACGGCAAGCATGGGTTGCTCAAGACCTATTCTACCCAAGATCTTCACGGGTCAGTGTGTGATTGTACCCCATGGCATGAACAGGTGCTCACACTATCAACCACTAGTTTACCTGCTCCAAATTCATGCAGCTGAATTATGTTCTACTATGATGTTAAACTGATCCATTTGACCTTCTGAAATCGCCATCTAATATTAACAGACAAGTGTCCTATTATCAGATAAAAAGGCCAAACAAGCAAAACAGACTCGACAAACTGTCTTCCAATTACAGCCTAATCATTGGGATATTTTCTAGAAATAAAGCCACAAAATCAACACAGGAGCGTAAATATCTCAGTGAATAAGGTCACACGATAACCTTGGTTCTCCAGCCAAATATCAAATCCAATAGCTGATAATTGGAATATTGATCCCCTTGCTGCCTGGATTTCGCATTTGGGCTGTTGGTAGAATAACAGCTCTTTAACAACTGAGAATACAGCAACTTCATACGGTATATTTGATATTATGGAGTAAAATATGATCAATATATTGTTGACTACTACGGTTTATTTTATGAAATTGGTGCAATTGTAATTCAGCTGTGTTGAGTTCCTCATCAGATGTGTGTCTTCACAGAAATGGCAATTCCATTACAGACAAATGATCAGAACGATGTCTCTGTAATGGAATATCAATGTTCGGGACGTTTTTGTTCCAAAGAGCATGCTGTTGATTCACTGCTGTCGAATAATGTGTTCAACAGGTTTAATTATGATCCTCATATATCAGGATCTCATTAGGACACAAGAAAGGAAACCAACTTTTCACACCTGATAAATATCATTAAAATATTTAGATTGAAAATCCAATCCCTTTAACAACTGATCAATCTTTTACAGCTTCCTCCTTCTTCATCATTCACTCCTGAATCACTTTTTCCTGTTTTCATTCAATCATTTATTTTTCTACTAACACCTTGAACATTATTTTCTTCAACCATCACATATTACTAGATTTCCTTCTTTCATTCCATTCTTCTTTTTCCGACAATCATCAATACTTTTTTCCCCCATACACTCAATGTTGATTCATTCATCAAAAAGACTCTGCCAATCTCCAACCATTTGTCGAGTTTAGGTATGAAAGGCAAGGGGACCTTGACAACCCCACTGCTGAAAGTCAAATACTATAGAAGCTCATATCAAGCACCCCAAGACACCCTTTAATTTTGAAAACTGACATCCACCCAATTCATTCATCCACCAATCCATCCCTCCATCCACCCATCAAATTCTTTCTTCCATCAATTGTGAGTGAGATGGGTTTAAATGTCACCTTGAACAGTATTTCATTCATATCATGGCAGTGACATAGGTTGAAGACGTAAGACAGTGACACACATGGGTATGCAGCATTTGAAATTAAGCACGACTGCAAAGGTCCTTGTCATAGCCCTAGCGCTAAACCTTACAACTTGAGGGGTCCCTAAAAGACTTGCACAAGTCTCCAAGGCACGTGATTATAGGTTCAAAGCATAATTCTTAGATTATATAAATAAAACAACCAAGTTGTTCCCATAGAAGACTGTCCGCTTATCTGGACTTGCCCATAATAACAACAGAAACTTCCAATGATCTCTGTCTCAATCAGACAGATGCAACACAAT